TGGTGAATAGATCATCCCGAAACAACTTGAGAATACGCGGCCAACCCGAGCAACACAATGAAGGCCCTCTCATGGAAACTGTCCTAGTGATCTTGCAACCATTACTGCCCGATATCCCAGAGAATCGTTGACACATAGACAGGGCATACAGAGCACGACGTGCGAGGAGGGAGGAAGCCGCGCAAACGAGATATGCTATAGTGTGCTTCCTCCATTACCAAACCAAAGAGGCAGTACTGAGAAAAGCCCGCTAGGCCCTATACCATACAACAACAAAGATCTCTTTTTCTATCAGGATCTCACCCCCATCACCTTTCAGCGCAGAAGGGAATGGAGGCCTGTTACTGAAGTTCTCAGAGACCACGCGATGAAGTATGAATGGGGCCATCCCTTTAAACTGATGGTATTCAGAAATGGCAGACCACACGTCCTCCTACCAGGCGCGGACCCCAAACACCTACTACTCCTGCCCCCCCACAACACACACTCACGAATAGACCTCTTCCTAACCAACCATACTGGCTTCACAAAAACCCTGAAAACAGAAATAGGCACTATAGCATGGTCAGATCATGCAACCATAGACCTCAGCGGACTCTGCACCACCACCCCTTGCAAATGGAGGCTAAACACATCTCTTCTAAAAGATCCACAGATTATAGATGACATTCAAAAACAGCTCACCACATACTTCTATGAAAACCTAACACCTGATGTCCCGATAACGACAGTATGGGCCGCCCACAAGGCAGTAATCAGCGGCTCCCTAATAAAAAATAGCCGCCCACAAAAAGAAACTCAAAACTCAAAAACGTACCCAACTTCTCAAAACACTCCGCACCATGGAACAGCACCACAAAACAGCATCGACCCCCCAAGCCCTAAAATCACTTCAGGACACACGCATCGCCATTAGAGACCTACTTACCAATGACGCAGCCCGATCCCTCACATGGTCCAAAAAGACCTATTACGACAAGGCCAACAAAATGGACACCTCACTAGCACGAACACTACGGCCTAGAACTTATCACCCACACATAACAGCTATCAAAGCTTCAGACAGGCAACTCAAAACATCTCCGGCCGACATAGCCCAGATATTCACTACCTTCTTCAAAAACCTGTATAACCATACACGATTCTTGGGATTCCCTCCCACCTATATCACTGCGGTCCAGGCATTGTATACCAATGTCACGGCCCAAGTCAAAATAACAGGAGCAACCTGCCCACTATTTACCATAAGAAACGGCACCAGACAGGGATGCCCGCTATCCCCATTCGTTTTGACCCTGGAACCCTTACTGCAACACCCCGTGATCTCAGGGGTCGGGGTGGTGGGACAGGACTTCTTAGTCTTGGGATATGCCGACGACATCCTCCTCAACATGACCGACCCCATCCAATCCATGCAGGCACTACTCCCACTCCTCCAGACATATGGTGATATCTCTGGATATGAAGTCAACATAGAAAAATCCAGCACACTTCCCATCAACCTCCCAGAGGCGGACATCGCCCAAATCAGAACACATTACCATATCCATGTCACGACCACCTACCTCACATATTTAGGCATCAAATTGCCGGCAGACCCCGCCACACTACATCACTTGAACTACACACCTATGATCTATGATATGCACCCTCATGTCGGATATGGAAACCTGGGCAGACAAACCAATCTCCTGGATCGGGAGAATACACTTAGTCAAGATGAACATACTCCCCCATTTATTATTCTTATTTCAAGCCCCACCACTCCCCATCACAAAACAAGACCTCACACTCCTACAACGGGCCATATACCGGTTCATCTGGCAGAACAAGCGACGCAGAGTGTCACGTACCATACATTACCGACCCAAAACGTGAGGTGGCCTAGGCCTTCCCCACCTACATTTCTACGACCTTGCTGCCCAAATGGCCCAAATTGCCCTATGGCACACACCACCAGAAACCAGACGGTGGGTGGACCTCGAGTCCCTACTCATGAAATCAAACCTCCCACAATTTTACATCTGGACCCCGAAAGAACACAGCGCACTACCCCGAACTACATGCCCATCCGTTACCAACTCTATTCACATATGGGATAAATACACCCAGAAATACAAGCTCATGTCCTCGCCCTCCCCCGATATACCGCAACAGAGCCTTTCTTCACGGCATAAGACCCAGAGATTTTAGAGGCCTAGAGAATGCAGGCCTCCAGAGAGTCCACCAATTATACATAGGTGACTCAGTGGTCACCTTCCCCGAATTACAAAGCAGGGCGAACCTCACCCCCTCAGATTTTTTCCACTACCTCCAACTCCGAAATTACGCTAGCTTAACATCGGTAAAAAGAGCAGCCAAAACCAAACCAACAAATTTGCCTTGCAGAGACCTATCGAGAGGGCATGATCACCACGCTCTACTCCCACCTCTGTTCCACCACAAAGGACTGGGGCGACCTACAGTACATCGCCAAGTGGGAATCAGACCTGGGTGAAACGCTAGAAGTTATAGACTGGAAAGATATCTGGGAGGCCATCGCAAAAACCTCTAAATGTGTCACAATGCAAGAACAATCCTACAAAACCATGTTCCGATGGTACAACACAACAGTTCAACTATATCACATGAAAAAAACACCCACAGACCTCTGCTGGCGACATTGCAGCGCCAAAGGTACATATGTACACATGTGGTGGACCTGCGCCAAAGTGACAAAATTCTGGAGAGACATACAGGCACTGGACTCCGGGATACTGATCCGACCAGTCGAACTAGACCCATGGGCATTCCTACTGGTGAAACCGGTAGCTAACTGGCGCATGCCGGAACAACAATTATTTAATAAAATAGCCCTAGCAGCAAGGTGGACCCTGGCCCAAACATGGTTCCAGCCCACCACAACCCCCATGACCTTGATACTCCACAAACTGAAAGAATGCTATATAATGAACAAGCTAACGGCCCAAATACGAGGCTCCATAAAAACATTCTCCAAGACATGGGAACCATGGGAGAACTACATCGATACATAACGAACGAAATGCAAGCATCGACTACACCCAAACAGCAGACTTAATGACCAAGACACCACCCAAAAACCCTCACGCCCCAACTCTTTCTCTATTAGACCGAGACTTCCGGTGCTTCGGTCTACTACTTGTGTTGAAACATATCATCATATATAAATACAATGTTACATATGTCAGTTTTGTACCAAAAAAAAAAAAAAAAACCTGACAGATAAAGAACTACTCTTGCACATTTGGTTTCTGCGCAAGCCATTCATAAAAAGGCCAATGTAAAATGGAACATTCGGCTTCTGCGAAAGCCACCTACAGAAATGCTATAAGACGTGTCAAGGTCTGTCAGTGAACAAATAAAGAATTTAAATTAATTACAGAAAAATTCATAAAAAGTGGCACAATTCTAAATCGCTATTAAGTCTTTTCGGAAGTAAAGTTTCTCACACTGTCCCATTATCTCTCACAAGGTCTTCCCCCCTCCAACTTGGTTTAATCAACTGTATACCAGTAAAGTTAAGGTGTATCGGATCCTGATTGTGTATAAGTTTAAAATGTAATGATAAACTGTGTTTAACAAACCCATTTTTTATGTTTCTCACATGCTCTTGTGTGCGGGTTTTTGATGTCCTCCCCACATATCCCAATCAACAAGTGCCTGTTATAAGGTAAATATGAGATAGGAGTGGTGATGTTGGACTAGCCAACGTCAGAACCCCAAGGTAGGTTACAAGAGGTAACACGAGGGCTTGACCCCACAACAAGTAAATAACTACCAACTGAAAGAGTGAGATGGAAAAAAACACTCACTCAAAAGTGAATGGGATTCAATCTCACTCTAGACGATTACCTCCTAAAGTAAACGTAACAAAGATAATGGTAATAACCTTTATTGAACTAAAATTAAGCAAAGAAAATATATGTAATAGGTATTAAGCTTGCCCTGGATAGAAACACCATAGAAAGTTGTGTTAGTGAAAATCACATTGAGGTGAGGAATTAAAAACCTGGGGATATGTTCCTTAATCTCATAGAAAATAATATATATATTGTATGTGCACATACGTATAGAGTCCGCTAAAATAAATAGTAGTAAGGCCTCTAAAGAGGACCAAGTAAGACTATAGGGACATCTGATATGTGGACCAATATATAAGAGAAACGGAACATAAGTACAGACTGCTCCGTACAAAAGGTGAAAATTAAATAAACCAAGTCGAGCAAAAACGGTAAAATCCGTAAGTGATATATATAGCTGGGATCGTGGTACCTAGCGATAGTAGAAATGCTGATATGGTACTGGAGTTAAACTGTGGTCGTTATAAATAATAAACCTTCAAATCGCAGCCTCGACTTGTTTTGTGGGGAAAAAGGTATCCTAGCTGTACCATTGCTAGTGGGATTGTTCTACACTTACATGATTTCTATGGTCTACTAGCTGAAGCGGCTTCTCTCTCTCTCTCTACATCGGAATCCAGACCATCCAAGCGGTTCAGCTTCCAGCTAGCCTGGGAGTAACCGTAACAGTAACTTTAGAGGAAAGGAGACAATATCCTAGAAAACCCTGGGCTTACTATCTAGCCCACAGGCAGGCCATAGATACTAACTGCTGCTTCAAGGCATCCTAGCAAGTCCCTATTAGCACAAACAGGTGTAGAGCTATGTAGCCGACCCTGCTGTTCAGACTCTCTGGGAGGCCATATGTCTCATTTGGCAATATAAACTATAGGGGAAATCCAATAGTGATATATCCCCTAGTATGAGACTAAAAAATACATAAAATCCACAGCGATATATGACAGCAGTACCTTAAATAAAAAAAGCCCCCTCCGAAATTAATAACTTTAGAGGAAAGGAGACAATATCCTAGAAAACCCTGGGCTTACTATCTAGCCCACAGGCAGGCCATAGATAAACTGCTGCTTCAAGGCAGCCTAGCAAATTGCAAGCACTATATTTAACCCTGTAACTAACATGCTATATTTGACTCTGTAACTTCGAGAGAAAAAAAACATAAAACCTGTACATAGGGAGTACTGTTTTACACGTGAGACATCGATGATTAAATTTATGTGTAATTTTTTTTTTTTATTATTCTTTATTTTTGTGGTGCAAATAATTAACATACTTTCTTGCAGTGCCCCAACAGCAGAAGCAAGGATGATAATATACATGCGTTAAAAAGTACAGGGCATAGAAGATCACTGCACACATTTTTGTTTAAGTAGCTAGGTCACATGCTGGTCTACCTTGTCCAAGGTATATAATATAACATCCTGGATTCAATATTAGCCACTTAGACACTTGAGAGTCATGTGAAGATTAATAGTAAAACAAGCTTATAAAACAGGAATATGAGAGAAGTCTAGGGTCATGAAAAGTAACATGGTTAGGTATGTCATATCACATTAGTCGATTAACCATGTAGGAGCTGCATAATAACATTCAAATTGTATGCTAAGACTGACTTGCACAGACTATGCACGTGTTTCAAGCTAGTTAGACACAGGAGGGTATTTGCAAAGTAAGTGCTAAGTCTGTTGTGACTATAAGAAAAAAAAAAAAGTATAACATGCTAAACTGGCATAGTTATGACAAATGGGACCGCTCCCATCGTGGTTTTAAGGCAACAAAAACTAGGAGAGAACAAACATAAGCTGATTGCATGTGAGAAGTTGCTAAGCTGAGTTCAGGGTATCTGATAACTTGCTGTGAAGCCGTGTTTCAGCCTATTCCGTTCGGACAGTTGGTGCCTGGGTCCGCAGATCGCAATAGCCAGTATGGGAGCAAGGCTGTTGGATAGTCCTTGTGAGTATCCTGTAAGGTTCTGTGTGGCAGGGCTTTCCTCCGGCTCTGGGCATGCAGCGCTAGTCCGCGGACTTGGGTGCCCACTGTGGCCAGATCTCTTCCCTTCCCAGGGCAGAATGGTCTAGGCGGTGTGCGTCACATGCGGCAGGCATTCCTCAGCTTGCGTGCCAGATTCAGAGAGGCAGCACCTCGATGGGCTCTTAGCCCAGGCGGGCGTTTAGCAGCATGGGTAGGCGCTCGTGCTTTAAGATCGCTCAGGGGAGGCCCACATCGCCCTGTCCGCTGGGTCCCTTTTGTTTCCTTCTTCTGCTATTGGAAACTAGGCTGCATGCGTTGCTGTAGTTTTAGCCAAAAGTCCTCAAATATTGTGTCCAGCCATTGCAGGACAGTGTCTGTGAGGCAGCCATGAGGTGTATGCAGATTCTGTGTGTTTGTCTTAGAGACTGCCACCATCTTGAGGGTACGGGAAGCTACCAGGATTCGGGCCTCCGTGAGATCAAGAGGTAAGTGCGGTAATGGTAGCCAAGGGTCAACCAGTGGGGACCGGGATATCCCCCACCGGTCCAGAGGGGGGTTGGGGGTAGGAGTGTAGCCGCCTTCCCCCAGCTCTGTCGCCCGCAGGCCGCAATGCTCGTCCGCGGCAACCCGCTTGCCTGTGTGCTCGAGGAAGGGGTCTGTGGAACCAGCACTGTACCCCCAACCAGTGTGGCGTGGTTTCGTTGTGAGCAAGGTGCTGGTTGAGGGGGGGTCCCCCAAAGATTGGCAAGACGTGCTGGAGCTCATGCGGTATGCGTCCGCTCAGCTTGAGGTCTTGGCTCCGCCCCTCAAATATGTGTATTTTATTGCAGTAAAAGCAAACAGTATTTTGACATTCACAGTTAAAATATCACGTAGAACTAAAAGAACACAAATTTTATTTTCTCCCATTTGTTTTATATTTTATTCATATTAAATTATGTTTCATACCTAAATATTTGATGTAAAATGAAATCCCTGTTTCCCCTGAATAAAATGATATATAATAAGTATGGGTGCACTTAATATGAAAGAGGTGAATTACGGTTGAATAGATCTTTAGCCAAATTCCAGATTTTGTTTACTTTTTGTTTTGATCACAACCCTTAGGGGGTTAAAGTATGCCAGTATTCTTGCCATTTAAGATGTAAAGCAGAAACATTATCAGTAAAATGTTGGGGGTTTTTTTGTATCTAGTAGCGGATAACATTATACTAATATATATTTTTATGTGGTTATGTGGTCTTGCCAGGTATGGAATAAGTTCATATGCCATTAATGTCACACAATAGCAATTCATTGCATGGAGAGAAAAAAATAGTACACAAAATATATGAAAAGTTTAAAAAAAAACTACATTTATAACCTTGGTACAGTAAATGTTATACCTTTACACGAAACTATAGGCAGGAGTAACCACCAAAGTTTTAACCCCAGATGGCCTTTTGAAAAGGTTTGTAGCTCAAACAAAACACTATTACATATCTATATGGCTAAACCAGCAAAATCGAGGCTAGAAGTGCCAACTAATACATCCAGAGTCGGTCACCATAATCACTACAGTGAACTGGAGTGGTTATGGTGCTTGGAGTGTTTCTTTAAACCACTGAACAGAATAACCAGCCACAAGCCTCCACTGGTTTAGCCTCTGGAATGCTTATTGAGGTCAGGGACCCTAAAAGTAGCTGAAGACTAATGTTAGGAAAACGAAGTAGGCCATTGCTGGACAGGCTGAAACATGGGACAAAGGATAACTGAAGATTTAGCATTAAAATGTAAACCATGAATACTGTAAGCCTAAGGTGAACCAGATGTGCAGCAATAAGGATTGCTAAAACAATGTATAATAAAGTAGGCTAGCAGGGACCAACACAAAACAGAAGCAGCTGTAAGAACAGGTATTGAGCACAGGAATACCAAGCTGGAACAAGTTAAGAACTGTGACTAAGCAAGATAACAGGAATAAACTGGAGTTAATAGCTTAGTACTTAGGGAAATTGAGTAAAAGAAATACGTGCCATTGCTGACTAGCTTTACCACGAGGCCACAAAAGGGACACTCAAGACCCCTAAAACACTTCAGCTTGCAGAAATGCTTTAAGTGTAATGAGAGCGTCCTCTTGTTTTTCATTTTACAAAGAGTGCAGATTTCAATAGAAATGGGCACTTGACCCGTTACATGTTACACCCCACCCCTTGGCTGTCAGACAACTGGTCATGTTACTTTCTGGTTTGGATAGCTGAGTGAAGCTAAACTCAAGAAGCAGCAATTGCCTAGAGCACCTGCCTTGCCAATACTTCTCATGGCGCCCCATTGAGAAGTCTGTGATTGGACAGCCAGAGAAAGTCTGGGTGGGGTTAGAAGATGAGGACTTGCAAAGGCTTCAGGCAATAGAACTTCAAGCTGTTTTTAGATATACCTCAATGAAAAAGATGCATAATTAAAATTCGGCTTTGGGAAGTCTGAGCTTGGAAAGAGACGCTTGCAAATGCTTCAGGAAAGATCTGCAGCATTTGCATGCGGGTTTTAGATATACCCCAATGAAAGAAATAAAAGCATAATGAAATGCAAGTATGTTTTTATTGGGGGTGTATCTAGTGAGCAGTGATTTTTTTTTTTTTTTTTTACCTTGGGCAGTGGAGTGTCCATTTCAATAGAAACTATTACATAAAAAAAAAAAAACTTTACTTCTCATAGCATAAATACCCTTTTAAATACAAACACAAATGGAAGAACACATTTATATTAACAAGACACAAACAACCAGGTGTAACAAGTAGAGACGTACTAGGTGTGGTATCTTAAAGGGAAACTCCAGTGCCAGGAAAACAATCCGTTTTCCTGGCACTGCAGGCGGGGTCTGATTAAGAGCCCAGTGGGCCTGGTGCTGACAATTATGATGGGCCTAATTACAAAATCTTATTGACCAAAAACACTAATATAGTCGTACTTCCCAAGCATCATGTATCTGATGGAGATGGTGCTGGATGGAAACTCATAGGATGCAGCTATGAGAAAACACATACCCTATGCTAATCTCACGCTTTCATCTTTCAAGTAAACCCATACCCCTAACAGCAGTGTCCAGTAAAGCAGTGTATGGATGGGGTAAAAGGGTGGGCCACTGACACAAATCACATAACCAGAACTGCCAAAAGGGGCGAACATACACAAAAAGGGGGCATGTCTGTGTCCCCATGTCTCCCAGTCCCTTAGTGTCTGTGTCCTCATGTCTCCCGGTGTCCCCATGTCACTAGGGGACATTGAGATACATTGGGACACTGAGATACTAGGGAACACTGGGAGACCTGGGGACACAGACTCTTGGGGACACTGGGAGACATGGGGACATGAGGGGACACTGGAAGACATGGGGCACTGAGACACTGTGATACATAGGGGAGATTTGAGTAAGACCTGGGTACAGGTCGAAATGTTGCGGTGTCCAATAAACCTGCTTAAATCTATCACAGTTCATGCCTGAGAATTTTTCTTTTATACTAGGGGACACTGAGACACTAGGAGACATGTGGACACTGGGAGACATTGGGACACAGACACTGGGAGACTAGGAAACACAGACACACTAGGGACAGTGGCACACTACGGACACTGAGAGACAACAGGGACACTGGGAGACATGGGGACACTGAGATACTAGGGACACTGGCTGGGAGACATGGGGACAATGGGAGTGCCCCATATCTCCCAAGTCTCAAAGTTGCCCAGTGTCCCCATGTCTCCCAGTGTTACCCAGTGTCTCCATGTCTCTCAGTATCCCCTAGTGTCTCAGTGTCCCCATGTCAGCCAGTGTCCCCTAGTGTTTGTATCCCCATGTCTCCCAGTGTCCATTAGAGTCTGTGTCCCCATGTCTCCTAGTGTCCCGATGTCACTAGGACACTAGGGGACACTTAGAGACATTGGGACACTGTAAGACTTGGGGACACTGAGACACTGGGAGAGACATGGGGACCCTGAGAGACTAGGGCACTCTGGAAGACTAGGGACACAGACACTAGGGACACTGAGAGATACCAGGAACATTGGGAGACATGGGGACACAGACACACCAGGGGCACTGGGAGACACTAGGGACACTGGCTAGGAGACATGGAGAACTGAGAGACTAGGGGCCACTGTGAGACATGGGGCCTCAGGGTCCCTATGTTCCCCAGTGTCCCTATGTCTCACAATGTCCCAATGTCTCAGCGTCCCCAAGTCTCTCACCGTCCCCATGTCTCGCAGACTCGAAACTACTGTCTGGACTCTCTGTGCAGAGCTGCTCCCCAGCAGATCAGTGAGTAGAGAGAGGCAGGGAGGGAGATGCTGTAACTTCTTATCCCTGCCTCTCTCCACATAAACAGCGACCCCTACTGGCTGGTGCTGGTATTGCAGAATAATCTCTGTTTATACTGAGACAGACATTTGTATTGCCGGTATTACTGCAATACTGGGACCGGCTAGGCAACCTCAAATACCTGAGAAATACTTCTGAGAAATACCTGGCAACCATAAGAAATACATGAGAAATACCTGGCAACCCTAAAAGTAGTGTGAAAAAAAAAAAAAAAGCTGCAGCTCCATCAGCCCCTATGTTAATCCGGCCCTGACTGCAGGTCCCCTCTCCCTCCCACCTCCCAATCCCCGGTCACTTACCAGAGGCAGCGACATGTCCCACGTCGCTGCTTCTTCGTCCGCCGCCGCTCCTCCTCTGCATTACGTCAGCCGGTGGGCGAGACTGATCCTGCCCACCGGCCAGGGAGACGTAATGCGCATGCGCGGCAATGCCGCGCAAGCGCATTAGAGCTCCCCATAGGAAAGCATTGCCTACAGTGTCCCTTTAAATACACAAGTGAACACAAAATTTAATATTTAATATACCACTGTTTACAAAGTTTGTACTAAAAACTTGCAGAAGAGAGTCCTAAATATAAAATAATAAGTTTATTAGATATATGTTTTAATCTCTCCCACTATTTACATAAGCACCCTTTTTTTTTAGTCCACACCATGTCATCAAAACCTTTCAAGCCATTTACTACAAATTTAGGGGGCTGGATGTTAATCAAAGTGTTCTGAAAAGTGACAGTTACATTTTATCATCATATTAATCGCATTTATTAAAGGGTTGTAAGAGTGATCTAAGTAAATTCAGCCAGGTTTTGCAGAAATGTCCACGTCACAAGACCACCAAATTTAAAAAGAACACTTTTCTTTCAAAAAAAAATGGTGAAAAACTGATAAATGTGAGAAAAATATATATAAAAAAAAAATAGTTTTATGGAGCAAAAACAACAACAACAAAATAAAACCTGGCAGATTTATTGAAGTGCACCAAAAAAGAAAAAAAATGCTGGAAATTGGACATAAAAGTGTTTATAGCACCTCTGAAAAATCTCCCCCTCACAGTTCAGGGATGGGTGCCTTAATCCAGCTTTGCACTTTGCTAGGAAGCACTGCTTATTCAATTTCACCCTATCAATGCAATACAGCCCTTCACTTACTTACAAATTTTATATTCACCTGTTTTTGCTTTATCTAATAAGTTAGGGTATAGCAGGTGAGGAGAGAAATTGGCTGCAATTGTGTTAAAGGACATAGAAACATGATCAAATTCAAGGTCACCTCCGCATAAATGTACATATCATTACAAGGTCTAGTAAATGTGTAACTGAGATCAGGATGTTTTTAAGGTGAAGGTTGCTGTCGGGTGGGACACTTGGCAATATATTCCTTGCCAAATGCACTTATGCAACTTTTCCACATATAACCAGTTTAAAGCGCTCAAGGCGCAAATTAACT